ACCTACTCTTACACAGGTGGGTTTTATTACGACTTCCGTGAAAAATGAACCACCCTGGATAGGCAAAACACCTCAATAAAAGATAAACAACTTTTCTGTGAAACTGAATTTAAAACAGTGGTTTGCCTCACTCTGGGTTCACCCATCAGTCATTGTACCAGGCCGTCTGTCTGGCTGTCCATCAGCGAGTCATTTCCCGCGCTGGCCACTACAATCTCCACTGAAAACGTCTCGGCTGGCGGCGGGACCTCAACCCAGACACGAAATCCGTCAGCCGTCAGTCCCTGAGCCACTTCACAGTCACGCTATGACCTCGGCGCATCAGCCCTGCGCTGCAGATGACCGCCGAGCAGGGAGACGGCTGGTGCGGTCAGAAAATAGAGAGACTTGGTGACACGGACCGTGAGAGACATCACGGATACAGAAGACTGTAGCGTAAATTTTGAACCAGTAAAAAAAAAAAACGGTTTTTTACGATAATAGAAAATACAAGGGGTCGCTTCATGTCTTCTGTAATTTTTTTTTTGTAAAATTGTTTCTCGTTCCTTTCTTTTTCGTTCTTTCTTTGTGCGTCTCCTTTTTCCAAACCCGCGGCCAGCTCGATAATGGTGTTGCGCTAAGCGTCCTGCTACACCAGTCCCCCGCACATAATCAGAAAGCCACGTCGGACCGCGGACGGTAAGACTCGAACGTCATTAATCAGCTGAGCTGCGGCGGTCGGTTTACGGGTCTGTTCCGACCGAGGAGCTGGCTAACCACGCCGGTGACGCCGCCGACTGGTACCGCCCGAGGCCAAATGACCCGGGGCACTCTGCACCGCCGCACCGCGGCCGGCCGAGCGACCAAGGTTTGTTTGCTTATTGTAGTTTTGGACGCGGAGTTGACACGGTTCAATTAGGGACTATGGTACCGATTAGCAGTGTGGCTGTGGTTTTGACGCATGGTGTTCTGCATACGTTTCCGGAAGTAATGAATCAAGCATACAACATGGGTGCAGCGACACATGCGAACCTATGCGTGGCTGCAACACAGTCCCTCCATCAAACCTCGCTCGCGCTTTCTGCTTCCGCACTCTCCTTCATTATCCGTGAGTCCTCTCTCTCCCATCCATAGCCTCTCATCATTTCTCAGCCATCAGGCTGCAGCTCCGCGCTCGGACCGGCTCTCGGTGGGTCCATTTGCGCCATTTAAGTGGCCTCCATTAGGCGATCGCCCTAATTAAGCAGACCGTCACCTCGACCGGTCGACACCATTTGTCGACGTCAGGCGGCCGGTGACGCAGCCGCGCCAAACTCGCCGCAACTCGGTCGGCCGACCACCCCAGCCGAACCGCCATCGGCTGATTGCTGGCGCGGTGGAGGCTGTCTGTGTGAGGGACGGGAGAAGTGAGGGACGGAAGGGTGAGAGAGTGAGGGACGGGGTACGTGAGGGACGGAAGAAGTGAGGGACGGGAGAAGTGAAGGACGGGAGAAGTGAGGAACGGGGTAAGTGAGGGAGTGAGGGACGGGGTAAGTGAGGGACGGGAGAAGTGAGGGACGGGGTAAGTGAGGGAGTGAGGGACGGATGGATGAGGGTGTGAGGGACGGGTGAGTGACGGGACGGGGTAAGTGAGGGACGAGAGAAGTGAGGGACGGAAGGGCGAGGGAGTGAGGGACGGGGGAAGAGACGGGACGGGGAATGTGAGGGAAGGGACGGTGAGGGATTTTTTCGGGGAGGAGTAAAGGACGGCCGAAGGAGAGAGGGACTGACGGGAAGGGTGATGCTAGGGACGGTTGGGCTGGAGACAGAGGGAAGCCCGGGTCAGGTGAAGGACGGGCGCGGGGGAGAGACCGATTGAGTAAAGGACGGAAGACTGAGGGACGGGCGGGTGAGGAAGTGAGGGACGGACGGGTGAGGGATGTTCGGGTGGGGGAGGAGTGAGATGCGAACGGGCTGAGCGAGGGAGCAGACAGGTTGGGGACGGATGAGTTGCGCAATGTGAGGGACGAATGAAATTTAATGGTATTAACATCACTTTTAATTAAGCGACCACCTTAGTACCTATCACCTTTAGATCATGATAAGTAGTTCAGCTTGAATGACTGCTTGCAACCAAGCGATACGGAGTAATTGTTTTTCAAAGCTGTGACATGCCGCCCTTATTTTCAGAGTAATTGCATCAACTCGTTTTCTCGAAATTCAGTGCTTCGAACAGCTATACGTCACCGCGTAAATCAACAACAGTCAGCGAATTCCTAGAGCTCTCGGGTTATTGACCATATTCAGGCTTCATTAGAAGTGATTAAACAATACTGCAGACCAAACACACTACGCTTCCATGGCTGCTTCCATAACTGTTCGGTTCCATATTTCATGCTAGTCATAACAGCGCTGGAAGCGCAGGGAATGGACCACAATACTGTATCGCTGATGAAGAACGCAGGAACTGATAACTAGAGAAAAGGCACAAGGAATGCCGGAGTGGACACAAAATGATCAGATCGCAGATTAACCCGCGACCTGGTGGGGGGGGGGGGCTATTTTTTGCCCCCCTCCAGACTTTTCGATATATCTCCAGAACCACTGCGCCGATCATCACCAAACTTTCAGTACCCTCCCGGACATCAATTTTACACATTGTGACCAAAATTTTTTCCAAAGGCTATGATAGGTTGGCCGGAAATGACGTCAGAGTGACGTCATGTTCTGCCGTTTTCGACCCAAAAAAGGGTTTCGCGGGAAGAGCTGTCAGGCCTATAGCTTTGCAAATACAGAAAAATGATACAGACATAAAAGCTGTAGAATGGACAGGGCTACAAAACTGCTATCTCGGATTTTTGAAATTTTTGGATTTTGACCCCAAAAAATCAAAAAATAGATTTTTTGAATATAATAGCCAAAAAATCCAAAAAGTTTTTTGAATTTCGAAAAAAAACCGGAATATATGTGATAGTCCTTACCGCCTTCTACCTACATACCAAATTTGAGATCGATACCTCTTTTTTGGCCAAGTTATAGCGAAAAAACTGTTCAAAATTGATGACGTCAAATTTTCAAACTCAATTTTCAGCAATTCTAGACCTCGTAGCGCAAAACAAAGACCACCATTAGACTCCCCGTGACGAGCTGCATCGAATCAATACCCATTTTATGCAAAAATATCAACTTTGAAATTTGACCTTTTTTGACCTGACCTTGACCTGACCTCCACCAGAAAGTGACCTAAACCGTACCTGATGGTCTTATAACCAACACCATTGAGTTGGAAATGAAAAACTGGCCATAAAACATGCATCGCATGACCTTAGTAAAGTTGGGTTCATGTGGTGACCCTTGGTGACCTTTGGTGACCTGACCTGTGACCTGACCTGGTATGACCAGTGACCTCTAACAGCAACATATCTACTAGGCAACTGACGCCCTATCGCTGATTCCCGACAAAATGCGTTTTCCTCGGTGTTATAGCGCATTCCCTAGAAGACCCGTGAACGGTGAAACATTTCATCTTTGACCTGACCTGTGACGTCATCGGTGACCCCGAGGTCAATAAAATTTGGTTTCCCTCGACAAATTTGACAGGCCTTTCGAACGCCGTTTGAATTTTTCGGATCCGTCCAGTAGTTTCGGAGATACGAGGGGGGGGGGGGCAAAAAATAGCCCCCCCCCACCAGGTCGCGTTATAAACAGACCCCACCAGGGCGCGGGTTAATATGCTGTGGTGTGATAGGCAGGCGTACGTATGGCAAAAAGGCATTGGTCAAAGTCGACAAGATGTTTCTGAAAATCACTGACAATTTAACATTTGCTATAACTTGAATTTTAATTAGTGACCGTACCCTCGTAGTTTAAAAAAGTTAAATCCAAACACTTGTTTATCAATAATTTCGAGCACAGCTCTTCATCAGAATACAAAGCTAAAAATGTCACGGAAAAAATCCAATCTTTGACTGGATGCTATAAGTTGGTTAAATTACTAAGTCATGACATTTCATAAATTTACATTTGTACTCATAACTGATCACCAACTTAACTAAATTGCTGCCATGTGTTTTTTTACGGCAAATGTCGTGAAAATCACGCAGACATCGAAATGATAACAACGTGATAGTTTGACACCGTCTTTCAAACAATTACATAACCCCTTTTACATAACCCATTTTACTTTAACCCCGACCCTTCACCCCTGTTACATAATTATGTAACAAGCCTCATAAGCCCTTTTTCTTGGAGAGCAAGAAATCGCGCCTGGGGACCAAATGTTTCCCCTCTCATCATCATTGGGTTAGAGAAATGAAATAGCTCTTTGTGACACTAGCAAAGAGAGGGACAAAATGCAAATAATCATACAGTCTCATCTGAAAGCACCAGCTTGCCGACTAGTATGAGTCCAGATTTCATCATCATTTATCACGATTGGGTAGCTCTAACCGTCAGCCAACTTCCATGTATGGCTTCCTTTTATTAATCATAATTCGTAGAACTTCCTTATTCCAATGGGCTTAGACATGTCCGGTGTTAACGCCAACTAATTCCCATGCTTGTGGCTCTGTACGGCATATTCCATTACCCCGATAAAATAATCCTTCAATAACCTTTCAACATGAACAAAGTGAACATTTCAAAATTTATCAAGAAAAAACTTTCACTGAGATAAAACCAAGCAAAATGTCATGGAAACATTGGAAAATTATACAACTTTTAAGTATCATCCCGGCGTACATAACACAAATATCCAGATAAATTTTAAAATGGCTGGATTTTAGGCAATGTTTTGCCTGACATTGAACATCATGGGGCATCGCGCTTTCCTTTTTATACAAAATATTTTGAAAAACGATGCCATCTCACCATGCCGTCGCGGCGTTCGAGACATCCAGATCAAAACACGATATGAAGCGATTTGATATAAGAGCAGCTCTGAAATTGGACCAAGCATTGTAGCTGATGTTTTTCCCAATGTGATACTGCAGCAACAGTCTTATTGGAATGTTTAATCATTTCGTGGTTTTAAAACATCAAAAACGATTGTGGAACCAGATTTTATTGTGCTATGTTTTTCAGGTAAGTCATATCATAAGCAGACACAATTTCAGAAAGTTCCGATGGTTTTCAAGGGCACAGTGTTATTAGAAGATCATCCTAATTCATTTTTCTTTGACCTGTCTTGGCTATAGGTCACTTTGAAAATCGATGCACTGGCAGATGCTTTATAACCAAATTAATCTGACTTAAGCGATTATCTCTAACTTATTTCCCACCACGACACATTCATCAGAACTATGTGCTAGGGAGCCTCTTTTATTTATCATAACGACAATGCGATGGCGTTTTCAGCGGCTGTAAATCATAATCGAGAACGTAAAGATCAGCACCATTTATTGCACAGGACAGCAAAACTACCACCTTGTGAAGAATCGCCTGCTAGCTTCCAACATGACCGGAACGTAACTAGATATCGATATAGCTCGTGCCCATCTAATCCCGCAGCGTTGGTGTGACCGTCGTCTGTGGCTATGAAATGGTCATGGAAGGCATGTGCTGATATTAGCTACGTGGTTCTAACGGCACGACGTTTTACAATAGAGGGAGCGAGAACAGGTCGAATGCAGAAACATATCACCTGGTCATACAGCACGTCTGTACAACGGACATAAATCGAGCGATCCATCCAGAGACACCACATACGCGGCCAGTCGGTGGCGGGACCGCACTCCCTACGATCCAAACGGGCCCTCCTCGGGACAGGGGTCACCATGGTCTCCACCATCTGTCTCCATGCAGTGACCGGCGCACATAACACCTAGCGCCGGACATCCTAAAACACAAGCCTGTACAAAAGGTTCGTCCACCTGATCTTGTACAGGCGCCATACAAAAATACATCGCTGCCTACGCCAACACTTCGTCAGAAGTCGGCAGCCTGTGACGTCACTAAACGCCCATGGCGTCACTGCAGTGTGACGTCACCGCACAGCCGTGACACCACCGATGACGTCACACTACGAGCGTCGGCGCTTCTCCGTCACGCAGTGTTGGTGTCGGCCCTCGCGAGCGGGCGAATTCGCCGAGTTCAGCGCGGGAGCCTCGCTCTGGCCTGCTCTGACGAACATATGAGGACGACATACCCCCGTCCCACACAGCAGAGCAGTGCAGCGCCAGCCTTTCACTTACACGAAGGGGCGCGCAGCGCAGTCCATGAATGCTGCTGAGATCTGCCCCGTGTCGTACTGTTGAGATCGGTACAATTCTGGAGCGATGTGGAGCGTTGCTCACACTGTTCTAGAGTCTTGGTACCTCACTGACACCACTCCCCAGAGCAGCCCTCATTGACACAGCTCCTTCACAGGCCTCAGGCTCATTGACCAAAAGTCCTAGGATGCCCAAAGACACCTGCTTCTCAAGAGTCCTGAATGAGGCTCGCAAAAACTGTCACAGAGTCATTGGGTCTCACTGACATCACTTTTGAGTCATGTGGGCTTGCCACCTACCGATATGGCCCTCTTCCCACACCCTACCGGATCTGTCGCACCTTTGCACACCACTGGTTCGACGCAGACGCTGACAACGAGTCTGGAGTCTGGCGCGGGGCCGGCTGATTCGTCAAGCGACAGAGTCTCCCAGTCTGAAACGAACACCAGGACGAGAGTTACTGATCACGTTATCCAGATAACTCGACTGTTCAGCTTAGAGCTGCCTTTTGGCTTTTCGCCTGTTCGTAGCACGGTGAGTACACTGCGCGGTCTTTGGTATTGCGATATAGGTACTCCTTGAGATCAGCAGTCTGCATGCCAAGCCCAATAACCCATTTTCCTCATCAGGTCAGCACTGGTTCCAATTCGAAGTCCAGCAGGGAAGTCAAAATTCTGAGTAATTATATATTAGAAACGAACTCAAAGACCATATATGCAGCGCTTGATCAGCAAGGCAGAAAGGGTACCTCAGTGAAGCTGGCTCATTATTTCCTTACAGGACAAAGGTCGATATGCGTCGCTAACCAATAGTGCTGCTCTTTAATTAGTGCTGGCGTTTTGTGGACACAGCGACTGACAAAAACAATGCCACACACATCAAATCACGGGCAAAACAGAGCCATAATACGCTGAAACCGCAAGCCACCGCCTGTTTTTAACTCCGCTGCGTGTCGGGATAACGTAATAAAGATAAATGTCCTGGTTGTCAGACGCGCGAAGGCATATTTAGCATACTGAGGTTCACTCTACATCGAAAACAAACAAAACACAAAATATCAGCACTGGCTGACAAGCCCGAAAGAAAACCATTACAAAAATAAGTCACAAAGCACGCCACTGATGACAGCTAGCCGGCAGAGCAGCCTCACCTCTGCGCTGACGTCGTGAGAGAGATGAGCTCAGAGCACAGCTGGTAGAATGATGACCGCCAGCACCAGTGCCGAGCCCAGCAGAGGATGTAACCGACGCGACGGGCCGCCGCCGGTACCGGCTATCCGAGACTCGAGGGCTGACGGAGGGGGCCGGGGTCAGAAAAAGGTACAGGTGGGGACTGACTGTCATGGGACTGACTTATATAGGGCTGACTAACCGTGACGCAGCTGCCGCGGGACTGACACACGGGACTGACATATGTCGACGGAACTGACAAAGATGGGACTGACATGGACGGGACTGACAAAGAACTGATGGAGATCACTCAACCAACAGTGACTAAGACCAAACTGGATGTGACAAATTGATTAGAACGAGACTGACACGAAACTGATTGACAAAGTTAATGACAATGCAATGTGTCAATCATATGAGACGGGACGGCCAACCGGGCCTGCCAGCCAAAGCGTTCAAAATTCTGTAGATATACGAGAGGTAAAATTTTTGCTGACAAAGGACGACCTGTAAATGGCATGGTGTTGGTTTTCGTTCGGTGACAAGATGACGTCGTCACGTAAGCGATTCTGTAAAGCAATAACGCCGATCATTTCATAATAAGCGAGGCACCAAGAGTTACCTATAAGTAAACATAGCCATTACTACAACCAACCGACCAAGAACCTTTTAGCGACCATGCTCGACGCAGTGGCAGTTGACCTTTATAAAAAAAAAAACGTATTAGTCGCCCGGTAACTCTAGCTAACAAATCATGTTTCTTGTCGCTACTCGTTTACTTTCTTTGCTGTCCTGTGTCGCAACGAACACCCACGTAAGCGTCGTGTGAGCTCCCACAACCACCCACCTTCAGCCCGTGTGGGATTAACCCGCGCCCCAGTGGCGGTCTCAGCCAACTTCGCCCTAGTGAGGGGGGGGGGGCATATGTTACCACCCACCTCTAACTCAAAAACTAAGAGGGCTAGAAAGACGCGGTAAAAAGCAGTCGATAGCTCTCAATGCGTACGTTTGAAAGTATTTCGGTCATTTTTCACCTTAGAGCAATATTGGGGTCACCAGAGGTCATCAAAGGTCAAAATTTGCCAATTGTCATTATATTTCTAAGAAAACATGCCGCTATCTCAGGAACTATGGTAGCTAGAAAAACGGATGGAACAGCAAACGATAGCTTTTGAACTCTTCTTTTGAAAAGGTTATTGTCAATATTGACCTCAGGTCAACGGTTTAGCCTGCAGAGGGCAAAAACTCCAAAAATAGCTGTTTTTACGAAAAGTGTTTTTCGACAATAACTTTCGACTACAAAAAGCCACGACATTTCTATTGCCAGAATCGTGTTCCCCTTGCCGAGACGCGTCGAATGAACTATAATTTGACCTCGAAAGGTCAACTTGAAAATTTGACCTCAGGTCAAGGTCATGACCTTACCGGCAAAGGTCATGTTGCATATCAGTCGATGCGTCTCAACAAGACAAACACAATGAGACCATACCCAGCGTTCTATCTCTTTCCAATCGCGAGTTATTGGCAAAAAACTGTTTGTAGCCTCAAGTGACCTCAGATGACCTGTCTAGAGGCTATCAGCAAAAATGACACCTTGGTCATCACGAGTGGACTAAATCATTGTGATTCTGAAATATTTGGGCTGTTCCGATGCGTACACACGGATCTAGAGGCATTTTCATTTTTCTCCATTGACTTGTAATGGAAAGGTCACGCCACTGACCTGACCTTAGGTCACGGATATAAAAAATCCGAGATATACAAATTGTAGGTGCCCATAACAGCATGCAATCCACCAAGTTTCAAACCTTTCTGACAAACACTGCAGGCTGGACATGATTGCAAACTTTTTTTTAGGCTTGGTCAGTTAACTTGACCTGGTGACCTGACCTGACATGACCTGTGGTCAAAAATTTCACACATTACCCAAAATTGATGAACAAAAAGCTATGCCAAGCGGCGCGGCGCTACGCGCCGCGGTTTTTTATTTATACGCAAAAAACGCGACAGGGTGGTAACATATGCCCCCCCCCACTGGGGCGAAGGTTAAGTCTCATCGTCCTGTTCGTAATCCTCCGGCCTTCCATTAACTCACCTTCACTCCGCGTGGGACCCTTCCCATCAGCCCTCGAGTGGGATTCTCCCAGCCACTCACCTTCATCCCTATTCACCCACCTTCATCCCCATTCACCTTCACCCCCATTCACCCACCTTCATCCCCATTCACCCACCTTCATCCCCATTCACCCACCTTCATCCCCATTCACCCACCTTCATCCCTATTCACCCTCCTTCATCCCCATTCACCCACATTCACCCCAGTGGCGGTGGAACACCTTCAATGAAGGGGGGGGGGGGCAGTGCCGACTTTTGGTCCCATTCTTTCCATACAACGCCCATAGGGCTAATGTTAAAATGCCAAAATCAAAGGGGGGCACGGTGTCCCGGTGCACCCCCCCCCCCCGTCCCGCCGCCTATGCTTCAGCCCATGTACCCTCTTCCCATTCACCCACACTCATGAGCCCGTGTGTAATTCTTCCATGACCCCGTTTGTGAATCTCCTTCACCCCGTGTTCACCCCTCCCGTTCACCCACCTTCACCCCGTGTTCACCCCTCCCGTTCACCCACCTTCACCCCGGGTGAGCGTGGCGAACCGGAACTGGTCCGAGACCGCGTTCCATCCGTGGGCGTTCCGCGCCTGGATCTTGAGGTCGTAGGCGGTAGCCGGTTCGAGACCCCGCAGAGTTATCCGCTGGTGGTAGAGCACGTCTCCCACCGGCTCGCTGCCCGTGGTGGGAACGATCACCTCTTTCCAGACTGACGGCTGCTCCACCGATATGTTGTGCTGCCGGAGAGGAAGTGGGTGTGATAGGAGGAGAGAGGGAGGGTGAGAGAGAGAGAGAGAGAGTGAGTGAGAGAGAGAGAGAGAGAGAGAGAGAGAGAGAGAGAGAGAGAGAGAGAGAGAGAGAGAGAGACAGACAGAGAGAGAGAGAGAGAGAGAGAGAGAGAGAGAGAGAGAGAGGAGGGAAGAGGATGAAGATGAAGAGAGGAGAAAGAGAGCAGGAGTATGAGAGAGAGAGAGAGAGAGAGAGAGAGAGAGGGAGAGAGAGAGAGTGAGAGAGACGAAGGAAGAAAAAGAGAGAAAGATAGAAAGAGAGAGCGAGAGAGAGAGAGAGAGAGAGAGAGAGAGAGAGGAGAGAGAGAGGGAGGAGAGATGGTGGAGATGGGGAATAAAGAAGTAGTAGAACGCATCAACAGGTGTGGTTCAGCAACATGTGCGGGACGAAATTATCAATGTTGCATGACTCATGTACTCGTGACTACTAAATAGTTTGTATTGTGAGGAACCAGCGCTTTTTATGATTAGATCTGACAAAATTAAGTAACTGTTTGTCATCGTTTAATAGAACAATAACGATACCATACATTGAAAAAACGTTTAGCTTTTGAATGCACGCTAATTTGAAGTTCGCAAATGCAGATAAGTATATGTAGGTGATGATTGTCTAGTGTTTGAAAATAAAGCAAAATACTCCTGAGCAGTAATCGCCACGCACTTTTAGAACGTGGATCGCTCATGATTGTTCAATGCAATACAATACAAGAGTTTTCGAATCGACCAAACTTCAGGGGCTTACAATGTTATAATGCGCTTTTGCAGGGTCAAGTTTTGAAAGAAATGCATTGATGGCGAGACCACTGGCGGAGTTTCAACAGCCGTTCTATGTTTCAGACAGGGTTCAAACACTCCTATTGTCCTCCAGACTCGGTTCAAACACTCCTATCATCCTCCAGACGCGGTTCAAACAACCGCACCGTTCTTCAGAGCGGTTCAAACAGTCGAATCGTTCCCCTGACCGCCTACCGATTTTCTGGATAATCGGATCCACCAGATACCTCTTTGGTCGCGGTTTATCGTCGCACACAAGCCTGCCGGCGGCCGGGCGAAATCGTGCTCGCGCTCCCCGGCCGATCTCTGAGCCGTAAAACTGCAGAGTGCCCCGCATGTCGACCATTCTACCGCGTCGGAGCAGTTGCGCGGAGTCCCCTGTCCGGTCGACACCAGATAGGACAGGACAGAACTCATGGGAGACGACTTGCACCGAGCATATCTCGGGCGCTGAATCATTCTCATACAGACTGCTGTCGAGTCAAATAACGGCTAGCTCGCTGCGACGCCAGCGCTATAGATCTCGGGCTGAGCGAGCTCGTCGGGGGCGACGACGTAGGCGACGGGAGGCGGGACGGAGGGGGGCGGGAGGGGGAGGGAGCTCTGACAGATGGCCCCCGGGTCTGAGACAGGTGGGGCAGAATGCCGACAGCCGGGGGGCGGCCCATACCCAGCCGCCATTGTCCGTGGTTGCAGCGTGCAACAATACGGGGTCACGAGGCCGCCGCTGGGGCTCTGCCGCGGGGTACGGGGGCGCCGCCACTCGACCACGAGAGGTTGTTAGCCGGGTCGAACAGGACGACACGAGAGGAGCGCTGCGTATTGAAACGTCGGACTTTTGAGCAAACAGGAGATTGTTGGATATGGAGGATCCAATTCGAGAAATAACAATGTAACCCCAACCTGAAATGTTCCACTGGATGCATAATGATGGAACTTGCAACGTGCCGTGTTTCAGGGTTAACCCTCGCCCTGGCAGGGGGGGTCGATGCGACCCCCCCCTAAGGTTTTTCGAAGATAGCGTAAAAACGGCGGCGCGCAGCGCCGCCAAATTTGGCACAGCCTATGGGGCAACCTTTTTACATATGACCTGAAAATTTCAGGTCCGGGTGACCTTAGGTCAGGTCACCAGGTCAGAAAAACCGGTACAAGGTCATGGTCAAATTTCAAATTTCTTTTTGCACCTGTCCAACTCACAGTTTTGCACTGATTTCCTTCCAACTTTCAGGATGTGCTAAGTTCACCGAGTTGTATAACATAAAGTTCGGGTTTTTTGAGGTCACTGACCTGAGGTCAGTTAGAGGTCATTACGTCGTAATGTTAAGCCTATGGGAAAATACTAAATTCGGAAAATACTGGAGATATCCACTTCGTTCTATCACTTTTGTGCTTTGAAACCACAGTACTCAACAGCAGGTCACTTGGTGCTTCTTTGTTTGGTGTACTTATCCATGGGTCAGGTCAAATGAGGTCAACTGAGGTCAAATGACGTTTTTGCCAATAACTTGGCACATAATGACGCTAGAGCTTAAAAAATGGTACCATTGTGTTCCTGGTGATCAGCCAAATCGAATGATATGCGATATGATGCAATTTGGTTAACTTTAACTTAATTTATTAATTCAAGTTTACTTAAAATTTAAGAAAAACTTTAAGTACATTTAAGCAAGCTAAAAAGTATATCATTCGACGCGCCTTGACGTGCTGAGTTCACTGATGCTTTTGTTTTTGCTCTATCTTAATTAGATCAAAAGTTATAAGCGAAAAACTTTTGATCTGTTTTTAGCGAAATTTTTACATTTATACCCCCCAAAACCCCCCTAAATATTGACCTAGAGCAACCAAATTTGCACAGGGGCGAGAACTCCAGGGGGCCCACCTACCTACCTACCGAATTTGGTGTTTCTAGGTGCCATAGGAGCCAATCGCGAGGGGGGGGGTCGCATCGACCCCCCCCCCTGCCAGGCCGTGTTATGAAAAATGCCCTGCCAGGGCGAGGGTTAACCCTCACCCGCACATGGTGGGGGGTTGCCACCCCCCAGGTAGTCTTTCTGCTCTGCACTCAACATTTTTAGAGCTAGAAGGCTGATGTTTCGTATAGCTGTTCAGTGTTCCTCTATCCTTTCTTGATGTTTACTGAGAATTTCAAGTTTCTGTGGTTTTTGGTTTCGGAGATATTTAAAAGTTGCATTCTTTGCAGGACTTAAGATCTACAGTCCCGTTTCCGAAGAAAACCGAATCTGCATTCAAGAGGATGGTAAAATTAATTTGTGAGAAGGTGTAATCGGCAATCCGAGGATAGAAATGCGGGGACGGGAAGTGTTCCAATGAAGTGCCCAGCTGGACTGAAAGCCGTGACTGCATGGCATTAATACATGTTGCAAGAGAGAAACATGAAAAAAACACACTTATAAAGCCTACTATTGTCTGGCATACAGCCAAGAGCGAGCTGCAAAGCAAAAATTTCCGCTTGAGCTCTGACCGTTTCTAAATGTTTCAAGCAATGGCAGATATAAGCGCACTAATAACATTTAAAATCTCATATAGTAGGAGTATTTTCGTTTTATATTCGCCGAGCCGAGGCCTCAAACAATGCAATGTGACCTTCAAATGCTGCGGTTGGCTAACATATGACTCAAGTTAGTATAGCAGATTCAATAAAACAACCCCTCATTTCTCGAAGAAACAGCAAATGACATGGTCATTCCTTCCTTCCCAACAGAAACTTCTATATCTTGGCCAATAAACCGTGGCAATACGGACGTACTTGCCGGAAGGGCCCGTCGTTCGGCCGGCAGGCAGTGTAAAACGGCGGCGATGCCGCGTCGACCCGCAGCAAAATATGGCATCTGGACCAGTGGCGACGAGACGCGTCCATCTCCGGCTAAAGTAGCCACTCGGAGCGGCTAATCTCCCCGGCGGCCGTCATCATCCGGGAGCAAATCGGAGCTGACGGTTACTGTCGACCCATCGAGCGGCAAACGGCCGCCATCGGCCCGGGCCGGCGGCCTGCGAACGGCTGCCATCGGCCCGGGCCGGCGGCCTGCGAACGGGCCGGGCCGAGCGCCGTTCGCCCCCCCTTCCGGCCGGAATTTACGCCCCCGTTTGGACACGCCCCCGTCATCACGGCAAGTCCGGCGGGACGAGACGACGACACACAGCCGCTGGCGGCGACGGCGATCGGCCGTGTGGCCGACGGCACCGGTCCGCGCAGCCCATCCGCCAACTATACGAGTACGTGCCCAACTTTACATAAGTGGGAAGTTTGAGCGTGGTGTAATTTGATTTGCGTTCAAACTGCTCATAACTTTGGATCAATTGGTTTTGTTGTTGCGAAATGTTATTATATTAGTTATTTCAGCGCATAGTTATGCTTATATATTTATTTCCAGAGTAACCGGACTTGAAATGAGACGCTTCATTCGTTTCCACCGTGCTTTTGGAAACCTGATGATATATCAGAATAGAAATGCGTATTATGCGATAGTATTCATGGAATGTTACATGCTTATGTGTTTAGTTATCTGTTCGTCTGCCTACCTATTTGTCTATTTTTATACCTGGGGCATTCCACGATAGATCGTACCAGGCCCGTCACCCTCACAGGGCTGGTAAAAAGCGCCGATTCGCTGATAATATCGGAGCCAGAAAAATACCTGTACAAGCGATTTAGGGAGCCAGAAATAAGCGTTTCAACGCAAGTATGCATGTGCAGGATAACTGCTAAGTTTTATTTCATATTTTCATCTTATTTCTTACGACAAACCTCAAAATACAAGATGCCTGACCACTAATATTAAATTAGTAACAGCATTCAATTTCCCAATGAGGTCTTATGCGCAATGTTTGTCTACAAAGTACAAAGCTGGTAGCCTATTCAGAATAGCTGTAAATGCTTACCGCGAACAGCGTTAGCATTCATCAGTCGAAGAGCCATCAGTCGATTTCCAGCTTTAACACTACGGAGAATAGGGCTCTGTAACTTTTATCAGTTGATGAGGACCTAGTGTTGAGGGAACGGGGAGCCACGGAGCCTTCTACCATTGGCGGTTCACTGTATTACCGACTAGTTTAGAACACAAATAATGATATTCAAATGTCAAGTCTCGTGCAGGGTTGCGGCACAGGCAAACTGTGTACATTTCATGGTATGTTGGTTGTTGTTCGGTAGTATTCTATGACCGTGGTTGTTCGGTTGGATTTGCAGTTGCTCCTCTTCTGTATAGTACATCTCATAGCAATATCATAGACCACCTACCTCAATATTTTAAGCTGTGGAGCTAGACATGGCACTTGTTTTTATTTTGAAGGTGCATACGGATACCTAACTCAAGTGGCTAACGATACTCACATATATTTGCCAACCAACCCAGTATGGTTAGCACTTAGCATATTTGTTACTAAATTAAATTAGATTTTGAATATCAAGATATGTTCCTCTTCTGCATGTTTTTCATTTTCTTTGGTACGTCATACTCAAAATATGCTTATTTAAGCAATCCTGATTTATATTTCAGGCATTTTGTAACTAAAATTAATATTAGACTTATATTGCCTTTGTGTTTCAGTTCTCAGCTTAGGACATCATCAATCATGTGTATCTCAGATGACGCTGACAATGACCAGCCTGCGGAAGATCTATGCTAGTGGGCGAGATGATGAAATTTCCTCTGTTGGTGAGTCAGTATTATATTCTTTGTCAAACAACATTCATTGCCTTACATGCATATGCCTTACATTTCTGTCACCAACCAGCTTAAACAAAAGTAGAAGAAATTATATTCCTACATTCTTTTGCTGTGTTCGACACCAGCCAATGTCCCAAAATCAGGATACATCAGTGAGCTATAAGTAAAACTAAAATAGTTACTGATGATGTTTAAGGTGTTCCTGAAAAAGGACGTTGTTCACTGCACTTTCAAGCCTTTTCTGTTACGAGTGTTGGGAGCCACTTTTCATGGCCGAAAAATTGGTCAGAGCCACCAAAACCATTTTTACCAGCCCTGCACCCTCATCTCTCAGATTTTAATGAAAATCGGTCCTAGGCCATCATAGGCCCCAAAGACGCCTGGCAAAATATCAGACTTCTCAGATCAAAACTTTTTGAGTTATATTGCATTACATTTTTTTTTTTAACTTCGGTATGTAACGGTGAGTTTGATGGCCTATAACTCAAGAACGGGCTAAGCAACCAACAAAAAGTAAACAACACTAAGTTTGCGATTAATCAAAAATTGATATTACTATTTAAAAATTCCAAAGAAAAAATTTCATTGTTGAGCAAAAACCTTAATCTTTTTTCATTTGCCTCTAATGACTTTTGGGACCAAAATTTTTCACATTTTTATTTTTTTCAAAATAATCTTCATGTCATTGCAAATCGACATGCAAAAAATTAGAAAGGTGTTCTTTCTATAAGTTCCTCATTTTCCCGCAAACAAAATGGGCTTCGGAGGGGTTGATACGACCCCAGCACGCTGTTTCGCTTCTAACCCGCGCCCTGATGGGGGGGGGCCATTTTGGCCCCCCCCTGTGGTTTTTCTTAAATAGCGAGAAAACGGCGGCGCGCAGCGCCGCCAAATTTTGGGTACCTTACCGGGCATCAATTTGACACCTTCACACAAAATTTCAAGTCACAGGTCACCTCAGGTCAGGAGTTATTGAGGTCAAACTGAGGTCATGTTCGAGCAAAAATGAGCAAAAAACATGACATCTTGAAACGCTCACCAATTCTACACTTTACAAGCAATTTTAAAGTTCTTTATGTGGTTGTGTAGAGAAAAGACGGCGCTACAAAACTGCTATCTCGGATTTTCGAAATTTTGGGATTTTGACCCCCAAAAATCAAAAAAATTGATTTTTTTAGAAAAACTCAAAAAATTTCCAATTTTTTTTTTCGAATTTCGAAAAAACCGGAATATATGTGATAGTCCCTACGCTCTTCGATATACATACCAAATTTTAGATCGATACCTCTTTTTTTTGGCCAAGTTATAGCAAAAAAACTGTTAAAAATTGATGACGTCAAATTTTTGAACTCAATTTTTAGCAATTCTAGACCTCGTAGCGCAAAACGGAGACCACCATTGAACTCCCCGTGACGAGCTGCATCGAATCGATACCCATTTAATGCAAAAATATCAACTTTGAAATTTGACCTAATTTGACCTGACCTTGACCTGACCTTGACCTGACCTTGACCTGACCTTGACTAAAACGTGACCTAAGCTGGCCCTAAAGTCTGTCTGACCCACATCATCGCATTTGTCATGTAAAATGGACCATAAAACATGTATCACACGACACTTTCATATTGTGACCCCCCCAGTGACCTGACCTCTGTGACCTGACCTGGCATCAGTGACCTCAAATAGCAAAATATGTGTTTGAAGAACATTTCTCCACCGATGATTTTCAATGAAATGCATTTTACTCGATTTTACAACGCATTTCTTGAAATGCCTGTAAACGGTGAAAATTCGACCTTTGACCTGACCTGTGACGTCATCGGTTTGACCGAGGTCAATGAAATTGGGTCACAAGGTAGTTCCCCGTTGGGGCTATCCAACACCGTTTACCGCTTGTCGCTATGTTGCGTGGTTCTCGAGATCTGAGGGGGGGGGGGCCAAAATGGCCCCCCCCCCATCAGACCGCGTTGCTCGGCAGACCCCATCTGGGCGCGGGCTAATAGAGCTAGAGCCTCGCGGAAAAACGAGCGTGTGTGCCGTTACAAGTCGCAGCGATTGGTACCCGATTTTAAGCTCTCAGGTTAACCGGTAGCGTCTGAGGTCAGGTCACGTGACATAAGTTCGGGTTCGGTTTTTAGTAAATAACTTTGCAGAAAATGGCCGCAGAGCCGCGATTTTGGCATCATTGTGTTTGCCTAGCTCAGGTGCATCGAATGGTATACTTTTTGCTAGGGTGAGGTTAACTTAAGTAGTTGACCTCGGGTCAAGGTCAGGTCAGAGCCCCTCAGGTCACGAAGCTGGGCAAAGGGTATCATATGGCATATCATTCCATTCGGAAGTTCTTCCCGAGTCCATTGGTGGCTTTCCCGACTCTCTAGCTCGATTTGATCGGGAGTTATTGACGAAAAACTCGTACGACCCTAGTGACGTCATAAATGACGTCACGCAAGGTTAACAATGCAAAAGTAAAGCATTGGCCTTTGCAAGGAGTGCATGAAATCACGATACCATGTACGTGGGATACTTTTAGATCATTCTCGGCGCCCAAATAACAGTTTTTATATTTCCCTATTGATTTATAACAGTGATGTCACGTGACCGACCTGACCTCATGTAACCTTGAAAAATTCCCAGATATACAAGTTGTGAGACCTCTGGAGGACACCATGTATGCGTCCTGTAACTTTCATCTCGGAAAGCTATGGTCATTGGCGTCCAAAACAATGTCAGAACCAAACAGCCTTTTTCACCCTCGCGCTTATAGGAAAGAGGGTTGAATGAACCCTCTTTTCACTTTTTTCAGATGACTCAGACTTGAATTGAAATTTCAGTAACCCATGATGTCACTAGGCAGCTTTACCACGCCATTTGTAAGCTCCCCTCCCGAAATCACTATTCGAAACCGTTATCGTGACGTAAAATAAATACTTTTATAGAAAGAACACCTTCCTAATTTTTTGCATACTTCTTAACAATGAGCCAAATATTTTTTAAAGAAATAAAAATTCAAAAAAATTTGGTCCCAAAGTCCAAAAAATACAATTGAAAGAAAACTTGATATATCATATATCAAAAATAGCGTTTTTCGAAATTTCAAAAATACATATTAATCTCTGTTTCATTGCAAGTTCAATGTTATATAACATTTGGCATTTGAATAATCCGTCTTAGAGTTACAGCCCGCCAAACTTAGCGCTGCAAAGCAAGATCCAAAAAATGTTATACACCATAACTCAAAAAATACTTATCTGATAAGCCTGAAATTGTTACAGGTGGATTCAGGGCCCCTGAGACCAATTCTCGTCAAATTCCGAGAGATGAGGGTGTCAAATTGGAAAAAAGTGGTACGATCTATCGTGGAATGCCCCACCTCTCTGTCTCTGACATTTTATCTGCTTGTCTTCCTGTCTGCCCTGTGAAATGTGTAGTACGTGAACCACCAGACCGGCGCGGTGTGAGGCGCGCCGGTAACCCACCTTGCTCCTCCGGTAAGCCACCTTGTACTCTTGAACGGGCGAGAAGCTTTGCACCTGCCACGAGAGGTCGTAGACGTCCGGAGCAGTGCTGACCGGCTCACTGGTGATCTCCACCCGGTCAGCCACGCCTGCAGGGCAAAGGTCAGCGGAGGTCAGCCAAGCCTAGTGTAGATGTCAGCGGAGAGGTCAGCCGAGAGAAGGGGGCAGCAGAGGTCCACCGAGGTCAGAGATCAATGGATAAGTGTGTGGAGGATAGCGAAGGTCAGCACACTTCAGAGGTCAACAGGAAAGAGGAGGTCAGCGGAGAGGGAAGGGCAGTGAGCGCAGAGGTCATATGGGCAGTGCGGATTTCAGCAGACAGCAGGAGTCAGCAGAGAGTGGAGGTCGACGGAGTACGGACAGTGGACAGTAGAGATCAGCAGACGGAAACGGGGCTCAGTAGCCGACACACACTCGGACACCATATGACAAAACTGCCCCGTGACACGCGAGATGTGCTACCTAATACCGGAGATCTACCCAGATATATGTTCCGGGTCCTCCACACACGAGTTATGACAGCGCCAGAAAACATATATCATTGCCGCTGCATCAAATTATGATATGGACATTGCTTTTATGGATAATAACGTATTCATTTCGTGCATGCATGACACATTATCTAAGAAAAGCCAAGACATACTGCATCTGTATAACAGCCTAAACTTTCCAATTAGTCCTAAACTAGAATGCTGGACAATGGACATGTTCGTACTTCTGCTCCAGCTCTTGATGACGTGTGTTTCAGTATGAAATGAATTTTCGAGTTGGAAACATTCATAACAGATCAGCTGTCGCACAAGAATATTGACAATTTTGCTGACAAAATACCATGTGATTGTACTGCTACGGGTCAAAATATGTTTAGAAGAATGTGATGAATACCTGACCTGCCTTTGATAACTGCATAATTTCACGAAAACCTAACTACTAACCACCAAGTAGACCACGATGCTATTTAGAACTGGCTGCGAAGGCGACCATTCTGAAAAGCTAAAAAGCTCACAGTGCTTGTCGTGTGTTGTAGTGTATCACATGACCTATTTGGAGTGTGGTTTCGAGGCTTAGCGTGCACGCACTTGCCAGTTTCGTCGCCAGGTACTACCGGCCGAAACCTCATCCAGTGTGGTGGGTGAGATTGTGTCGTGTCTCACGCGAGGTTAACATGCCTCGAAACAGAAAGGATACTGGGGAGGAAAGTGGGAACTGGGGCGGGCCAACATTTGCAGTAGTGACGCACGAGGGACAGATGCTGCCATTCCGGCGCTAATAATAGGCGGTTAGATCGTTTTGTTGTCAGAATGGTATGTGCAAAGACCTAAAATATCAGCTTAAACTGTTGCTAAGAATACGCTCACTTGCTAAAGTCAAAGTGTTGTTGAATTGTTACTGAAAGCACAGAACTATTGGACCGAAAGTTTTCATTAGGACATGAAGACATAACTCCTAATAGCTTAAAATACGCAGCGTTAGTCAGTTTTCGAAACATTTGTTTTGTGCACATTTGAAAAAAAACTAATTTTTTAATGTTCCGTGGCTTTTTTTCGCCAGACAAGCCGATCGAATCGAGCGATGTCGAGTCCGGGCTCAAGCACCGGGCACCGCGCCGTTCAGTTAGTCTCACTGAAGTGGTAGACTGTCCCGCAACACTCGGGTGTGATGCGGTGCAGTCTACCCATCCAATAACACGCCACATCTCGGTAGGGAGAGTGAACCGCCATCTTCAGTGAGCGCAAGCACTTCTCGCATGTCTTTTGATCTACAGTGGGTCTGGACATCTGCCGTTCCTAAAACTATTAACTGAAAAAATTGGTAAGCGGAGGGAAATCCAATAGTCGAGTAGCGCCGAGCAGTTTGTAGCAACGGCTACTTATATCTGTCACGCGGAACACGTAGAACATGACAGTCATAAGTAGTTGGATATATTAAGATACTCTGACTTAATGTAATCAGACCAAAATTCTGTTTTTTCCAAGCATAAACATCGATAGCCTAACCGTCCGGCTTCCCTTGCTAAGCAGCCCTCATACACGCGCCTAACTATCGATCCCGATTTGGTGACGCAGGGCGTGGCGGCGATGAACTGGTACTGTTGACATATCATGTTAGCATTGGTCGCGCTTAGCCTTGGCGCCTGTCGGCGACCGCTACCGTTAAACAGAGCACCTCAGGTTCTGTCTACGGCCTCAGCCGCAGGCCGGCTGACCTTCCAACCGATATGCGTCGGGTCGTGTGAGTACCTAGAATCTTGCCATAACTGGCTGGCTCATATGCCCAGACTGACTAACTGACTGACCTGCCATTGACATATCGGGTCATTGCCCTTAGACTGACTGACTCAGTGACTGACTAACAAACTGACTAACTTACTAACTGACTGACTGACTGATTGACTAACTGTCTGACTGACTGACCTGTAACCGACATATGCCGGGTCATTGTGCCCAGACTGTTGGTGGCCTTGCACGAGTACCGTCCGAAGTCGTCTCTGCCCACGCTCTGGATGACCAGCTCGTGTCGTGAGCCCATCACCACCTCGTCCGGCTCGCTGTGGCGACTGCTGTCGAACGTCGAATCCTCGCGGTCCCAGATCACCTGCAGACAGGCGGGGAGGGGTGCGGGGTTGGCCGGATATGGACGGTATATGCCCAACGAGACGGCATGTCATGCCGTCGTGCCGTGAAGTAGCCAAGATACGGCAAAAGTAACTTTTGTAAAAATGGATAAATAATATGATACAGTACAACAGCTGAGAACATAACTTTCCAGCATTTAAAAAAAATTAATCTGTAGTTCTAGCAGGCCAGCCCCAATGGTATTCATAGCTATAATACAGCCAGTCGGCACAACCAGTATCTCCTCAGAAAAGTCAAGGGGCGTGGGCTGACCTCGTCCATTTCGCACGAAAGGGCAGCTGGCCGGTCAGCCAACTTCGATTATCGCATGGGACAGATAAAAGTTTGGAGCCTCCCCTACTGCTGTAATGTCATCTAACTTCATTTCAGATTGATAATTTGGACAGAATGAGGTTTTCATATGTAAAATGATGTCGAGAAGGCTTACTTTGTTACTTTGGTTACTGAAATCGGCACTCTTATTTCGACAAGATATTATCATTCACTCTGAAGTCGCAATACAAAGCCACGGGCGATACTTAACACCTAAGATCAAGCCCATCATTGACATAACTACTTTTCCAGTGTAGCAAAAAGTAAACAGCGGACATGTGTATAATATTCAGCCCTTAGACCTGTCCAACCCGTGTCTCACCTTGGCTGGTGGATCGGCGTACACGAAGCAGACCAGGACCACGCTGTAGCCCTCGCCGGTATAAACTGTGCTCTTTTCCACCTCCACTTCCGGCGGGTCTGCCGGTCAGCGAGAGCAGGCATAGAGTCAGTAACAGACCAGCGAGGAAAGAGAGCAGGCCAGGAGGCGGCCAGCAGGAGGGGAAGGAGTCCAGAAACGATCCACGGCTGTACACGAACACCAAGTCTAAAAAAAACGCCAAGTCACTGGTCACACAACCACCGTGCTGGGAGGTAATGCGCCATTACTAACTGTCTCACTGCCGCTCCCAAACAGCGAGTCACTTATCAGGTAACATGCTCACTACTGCGCTGAATGGTATTGTAGTAAAATTGCCACCGACGTTCATAAGTGTGGACATGGTTATTTCTATTTCAAACAGACGATGGCTCATGTTGATAGCATTACTACACTCAGAAAACACTTTGAGAACATTTTTGAATAAGGGCTCATATGAGTGCCAAAACAGGGCTCAAATCTGTATGATTTTAAAATCGGGATCAGTTAGGCGCCCTTTTCGGGCTCAAAGTACATTAGCCCCGAAAGCGGCATCAGTTCGTCTTCCTTTTCGGGCTCAATTCGAGCTGCGTTTTAGGGCTCCAGCCTCCATACGACATTCCGCCATTCCGTCTTTTGCTGTTTTCAGTGCCATGTGTTGGTGTACCTACCGCCGTGATTTCAAAATGAATGGTAAGTTATTAGTTATCAGTTATCGCTATCTTTTAGAAAAAAATCAAGATGTTGATGCTCATGCCATTTTAATCCCTTATCAATTAAAATTGTGGTGGCATTTGTTCAGAAAAGGTCTGATCTACAATTGTGGCGCCGTTGATACGAATACGCACGGGTTTGATTATTCGTTTTCTTGTATTTGCGCCACATGAAAGCATCATATCTGGATTCAGGATGTCAAATAGTGTAAGAATGTTCAAAATTTTTGTCTGGTTCTTCGTGATGATGTGATTGAAGCAATACTTTCAAGGGTAGGTAAGGATTTTGTTACTTGTTCGTAATGGTTATCTTGATGCTCAACTAAAATTAATCCTAACCTTGCCTACTAACCTATTAAGTTAAACTTAGTACCAATACCTACCAACCTACAACCTATTTGGATCTTTCATATACTTATAACATGCTGCTGCTTCTGCTAACACGCTGCGGAATGCTGGTTGACATGATGGAATGCTGGTATGACAGTGTTCCATGTTTCAGAATTTTAGGTGAATAACCACACATGATGGGGAAAATATTTTCATCCTAAAAATATGACAAGTGGCTTTATTTCATCTTTGCTAAAAAAAAAAATATGTCATAAGTTTGATTCAACAGCCAGCTGCCAGGTTACGCATGACTTGACAGTTGATGCATCTACTCTACATCATTTCATTTCAGATCCTTTGAAGGTTCTGACAAAATCTGAGGTAAAAAATGGCATTATGCAGTTTTGCGGAAAGACTAAATCTATCTCATTTTGTCTTCAGATTTTTTTTATTGGGACACCCAATTGAAATCCAATTTTAGAACACTGTGACACCATGCCTGTGTGCCAAGTAAGAGGAAGGGTCTACAAGTATACATCAAGATAACCAATTATGGACAAGTTGAGACTTGAGTCATGAGCTCTTATTTGTGGTTACAATACCTTCAACTGCATGATTTTGCACAACTTCCATACAGGCATCCAGACTGGAAAAGGTTCAAGTCCATACTTATTCTGGTGCTTGAATATGGCAGTTCAAAGATGGAAGGCATATGATGCTACAAAATGAAAAAAATAATTCAACTTACAAAAAATAGGTATTCATATCTATCCTAAACTAAACTAACCTAAACTTACCTAACCTAATCCAACCCAACCCAACCACCCCAACCAGCCCAGCCCAGCCCAACCCAGCCCAGCCCAGCCCAGCCCAGCCCAGCCCAGCCCAGCCCAGCCCAGCCCAACCCAACCCAAAACCTACAGTCTAAAACCTAGAGCTAAAACCTGCAGCCCAAACTGGAAAACATCCATATGGTACGCCGGACGCCCGTGAAGCCGTCATGCGCCGAAGTTCGGCGCAAGCTATTTTGCAATTTGCGCTGAAATTTCTGCATTATTTGCGCCGAAGGTTAGTGCCCTTTCGCGTCAAAATTAAGCCACTTATACAAAAAGCACGTTTACATCTGCTGGCCAAGGTTTTATAAACCAGACAGAACGCTCTGGGCCTTAACCACTCCTGACTCCCATGTTTGAGCGTCCAAATTAGTTGATGTTTCCATGGAAGCTGAATACCACAATACGTGTAGCGCACTGTAGCATCGTGCCGTGAAATAAGGCTCGGGACGGAAGTTCCGGGGTCACAAAAATTGGTGTGGCGGTGTTGTCGCGGCTGGCGGGCTCCAGCAAGGGGTTTAAGTTTACGACACCACTCTTGTTTCAGGAGAGGTGTCAGCGATTCGAGACTACTTGGGCATGCGGGCAGCGGGGTCGGCGTGGCTGCCTGCGGCTGCGGCCACACATCTTGGCGTCCTGGAGGCGGAGATGCTGATGGTGGCATGAGTCATCACTGGCTGCCCGATTTCCATGCTCCAAGACTCGCCGTGAGGGCCGAGGCGGGCGTCGTGCCGATGGAGAGATGAGGAGGGATGCGCTGGCATCGCGCCTACTGGCGAAGGCGCTCTCCCTCCCGTCGGAGGACCCGCCGCGTCGTGGCGGAAGCCCCCCCCCCCCCAACCGTGACTGAAGTCAGTGACCGGCTGGAGAGAGCGCGGGGGAGCGGTGTGGGACCACTGGAGTGGCGCTGCCCGCCGAGGCGCGCTTATCCACGAGACTGCCCCCGTAGACGCCAACAGACGGCGTCACGGTCCACCTGGACCTGCTGCCGATCGGGGCGTCCGCGACAGCGAGGAGGAGTGCTGCGGAGGCGTGACTGGGAGCGCTCCCCCAGCGTGCGACGTGGGCCTGGGTCGACGGGTCTGCGACCGGGGGAGTAATAGGAAGGCGGCGCTGGGGTCCTCACCGAGCACCCAGACAGTACAACATTGGTACTGCGGGAGGCGGCGGGGAGGATTTGCTCCATTTACCGATCTGAGATGGTGGCGCCCAAAACGGCAAAGCAACATCTCCTGAAGCACCCGTCCTTCGAGGAAGACCCCATAATCATTTGCTCCGACTCGCAGGCGTCGCTGGCGACGCCACGAGGTGGACAAGTGGCCCAGACACCCCCCCCCCCTCATCCCCTAGGTGCCGCCATCTGGGAGTATATGATGGCCCTAGTGGCTGTAGGGGGCCGAAGAATCCACCATAGAAAGAGGGCGGCGATAGCCCGATTAAGCTGGGCGTCCAGTGGAGCCTCGGCTCTATCATGGGCATTGGGCAAGGACTCTGCGAGCACCCCCGTCTCCTCCATCTTCGACGGCACTCCAGTCAGAAAGCTGTCCCCACCCGAGTTTCCCAGCAGCATGGGCCACATGAAACCGAACAGCGCCGAGCCGCTCGACGCTGAGGACCAGGCGAGAGTAACAGTGAAAAGGTGAAACGCTCGAAACGGCGCGCGCCGCCGGCCGAGGGCGCCGAGCCGGCCCAGGCCGGCTGCGGGTCAAACAGAAGCCGTCTCCGCGGCGGCCGCCCAGTGACAGCGACTCGGACTGACGTCGAGGCACCGCTGCCGCCTCCGCCGACCAACCCGCCGCCCAGCAAGGGCAGTTTGAAGGCGGCTGCGCCGGTGAAGGTGGCGCGGCCTGGCAGGGGCCGCGGCCGGCCCACTCCCAGCTACCCGTCCCGCGAGGTGCTCAGTACCACCGACTCGTCCGATTCTGAGGCAGCGCCGTCGGCGGGCCGCCGCCAGCAGTGACGACGACCGGCTGGCGGCGTTCGCGCGGGACTTGTCCGACTCCTGGTACTCGGACTTGCCGCCCAAACTGGACGCCGGCGGCGTGAGCACCAGCAACGCCAATAAAAAGTCCACCTTCATCCGGCTCTTCTCGCACCGTGTCAAAAGGACTACGCCGCGCGGCCGGCCGGCCAACTCGAATGAGCGCAGCGAAGAGCACACGTCCCCGACGGCGGCACTGGCGCCTCCCGCCGCGCCGCTGCCGGCGTTGCTGGCAACGCCGATCCAGGCCCATCGATTTCTACTGTTTTGTTGCCTACGTGCCGCTGCCGCCGCTCAGCCAGCACAATGGCGTGCCGGTGTTGCGCTGTCGGATCGAAAAGCGGCTCGTGCAGCGGACGGACGGGTGCGGCCCGCGCGATGAGCCGCCGCCGCACACCGAGCTGCGCCGCGCGGACGTGAAGGTGGAGCTGGCAGCGGCCTGCTCAGTCCCCTCAACGGCGTCGACCGGCTCTCCGGCGATTTGCGGTCAGAAACGCCGCCGCTTCTGGGACCAAGGTGTCAGAGCGCGGCGCTGCCCGTGAGACGTTAAGTTAGCACAGGCAATGTCGTCTGCACTCCTTGCAGTTCATGTTGAATACACAACCATGTTGCGAAGTAATAGGCGCCGGGTTTTTCAGTTCATAGAACTTTTTCCCTGGCTATTACACCCCACAACCGAACACTGACACCTTGCACAAGTATGACTGTGTGTATGAATGTTAATAAATACATGAACCAATGTTGTGTTTTCGGTTCCAGTACCTTCTTTGGGCACCTCGGCAACAAGTAAGTAATCCGTTAGCTTTGCCACACCTAAGATAGGCTCCCACGTTGTTATTTGCTCCCGGGTTAACATAAACCGGTTTAACGTAACTTTTGCATCCCGGCCAAAATTGCCGGTTAACTGTCCCACCGCTCGAGACTGGCGCTAGGCTGGCCGAGCAAAAAAAAAAAAGTTTGTCCGCGGCTTCGTCTTATTCGCAGCTGCTGGACACGGGGGAGGGGGGAGGAGGGGCTGCATCGGACGAAAAGCGGGCTCTGGTATTAACTGGATTTTTTGCCAGCTGGCGCCGTATGGTGGCGCTAGCAGAGCTTCTTACATATCAATGCTAGATATAAAAGAATGAATATTTACCAATCAATTTTTCATTTAAAGCCATTTGAAATATTTATGTCCATCCTACTACCGCGCTTAGGTATATCTAAAATTAAATACCTTTCGTGCGTCGCCAGCTGGCCAGCCAGCTGACGCAATCCAGCTTTTACCAAAGCCCCGAAAAGCGATGACGTGAGCCCTAATATTGGCTTCACCACACAATTTGAGCCCTCAAACTGGAATCAGGTGAGCTCGAAAATGGGGATTAGGCTGAAAACTGGTATCATAGTGAGACTAGTTTTAGAGCTTGACACCGATAATGGGTACTGACTGAGCTCTGTTTCTGCGATCAATGATACCGATTTAAGGGATCGTATGAGCCCATGTGGCGCTAGCTCAGAAAGTATTCTCGAAATGTGCTGTCTGTTTTGAATATGGTACATTAGCCCGAAAACTGGTCTCTGAGCCCGAAAATCGGGACACTGTTTTCTCAGTGTATAGATGTGTATTCATTGGACAAACTGAGTTATTTTTGCAATCTGAACAAGAAGCTTCAGGCATTAGTCCTAAACTTGACCTATTCGAAAATTTTGAGTATCGTTCACCTATCTCTGTATTATATATTTTCGATGCCAAAGCCAAACATTGTCGAATGCACCTCATTTTTTTTTTTTTAAAGTACATCTGATGGCTTGGACTTTACGCCGCAGTAAAAATGCTACAGAGGTGCTGCTTATTTGATCTACAGAATGTTTTTCACAGTCTGAAACTGACATTAAGAAGTGAACTCCTCGGCACAATTCGAAAACAAAGAGGATTAAACACACCTGAGTGACGTGTTTTGGCTCGAAGCTGCTATCTCGGATGCTCGTGTCTCTCCCGTATCCGTGGGCTAGGTTCAAATGAGAGCGCGCTTTGGTGTGCTTTGACGTACTGCTTCGAAAACACCATCCTTTACTAATGGTCCTAGGGAAGGCTATAAAGTAGACTATTTATATGTCACACATGATGAAAAGTTGCGAGTTGCGACGATCAATCACTAGTACGATTCGGAGCGGTTAAGCGGTTAAGCCATAGTATAACATGCATTCGTCTGCACTTGGACGTGAAGCTGATGTTTTTCTTTTCAGGTAAGAACGGCAGAGGCAAATACCCACAAGTCAATGGTAACAGGAAATCGATGCCACTGCCAACCGGCATCTGCCGCTCGCCGTAACGTGTTTGCAAGGGAAAATTCAAGGGCGACCTATACGTCAGACGTAAACACGGCACGACAATTTCGGTCCGGCTCAGGGCTTTGGATGTCGCACTCGGTGCAGTTGGTTTCTTACGGCACACGACTAATGAGCCGCCGAACAGTAGAGATACATCCCTTACAGCTCAGCAGGGACAGTCATAATGAGCCTAACAGCAATTCAATAATTCAATAATAGCTAGCATGTATCCTTTTGATGAGGTCAGGTATCTGTATCTGCCATATCTCACTTGCAACATACCAAAGCAGTAAATCCCATGTCTGCTCGTCACTCAGCGCACATTAGCTGTAAAAAAGCTCACCTACATACAGCTGCCACGACTCAACAACTCACTCTGTTTATTTCTGGAGAGCAATTCAACATCCTATCCTTAGCACTCACGTCACTGCCTCCCACATGTCTACCCACACCCGTGCGGTGGCGTCTTCAGTACGAAGTAGCGTGACCATCAGTAACACAATACCAGCACTATTCATTTCGACAATGCCACACAAAATACGCTTTCCTTTCCTAACCGAATGGTAGAATGCAAAGAGATATGGGACAGATGCATGCATTGCACACTCTACATGCCTGAAAACTATAAACGGTATACGATAAAATCAGAGCGACTCACAGTGCACCTGCAGCCGTATTGCGCCGACGGCCACCTGGCCCAGTCCGTTGTCGGCCACGCACTCGTACACGCCGGCCATCTGTCGCGTGATGTCCGAGACCGTGTAACGCTCTCCGGCGGCCACCTTCTCGCCGCCGGGCAGGTCGCCCGACTGAGAACGGTAGAGGGGATCTTTTGATAACCCTTAAGTCAGAGTGAGAAATGGGAACTAATGAGATATTATTATCTCTATATAGTAAGGCTAAGCTAGGGAAAATAGCAGTGTTACACTGATCAGTGGTCGACGTATGGGGATAAAATAATTATCAAATGAGAAACCAAACAGAACAAAGACGTCTGAGAGCAGCGTAGATTGAAATCGCCGTCGGAATAGCTCGTCACGTTTCCCCAAGAGCCCGATGCGTCTCGGACTGAGTCCACCAACACAAACTGGCCCCACAGAGGCCCGCCGCACTGCGGCCGCTCAATCGAGAATCTGTCACGTCGGCCGATTGAAGCTGGCCGAGTCTCAGACCTCGCCGAGGCTGATTGTTTCCCCCGGAAAAAGAGGAGCGTCGCCTCCCAAGGGTTTCGTCTGGCATCGAACTCATTGGTGCCCCCTCTAGATCGCAAAGATTCAGCGAGTCAGACTGGCTTGGTGTTACAGAGATGTCGACTTCCTTAGACTACCGTTATGTCATACATCAGCAGGCCCATTAAACTCAATACCGCAGCATGTGTGAATAGAGAAAAGCGTTTCAGAGTGAAGCAGGAATCTCATGTCTGGTGACGGTTACATAAGGGTAAGACAGAGAGTTTCTCCGACAAAATGTCTATGGCGCCATTGATTGTGACCTTTAAAGACCCGCTGACATCAGCTAATTCCAAGCGCCGCTAATATACGCCCGACAAGGCGGGGGCTTTCCAAAGTAGCGTTCATGGAAAGTAATGGCGACAGCTAAAAGATTAAGAAATCCCATTTCGTTTTGGCAAGGGGATGAAGCGTCTTAACTTGGAAAATAAAACAGCACACAAGCTTGGTCAGTTGCTATAAAAAGAGTCTCATGAGAGGTTAAATGATAAAACATGTGCACATCTCAAATAATATTCGTTATGTGACTCTGTAACACTAAGTAGCGATATAAGTAATATCGGGACGAACCCTTTCTGACCTGTTTCCTCCAGGTGATGGTTGGCTGGGGTTTCCCATCGGCCGTACACTGCAGAGTCTCATCTGTTCCCCGCTCGGCAACCACCACACCCGACTGGGGTACAGTGACCACTGTGGGACCGTCTGAAACGACACATCACCGATCATCAGCCACCAAAACAGACTGGGGTACAGTGACCACTGTGGGACCGTCTGAAACGACAGAGGATAGACCATCACGCTCCAAAACAGACTGGGGTACAGTGACCACTGTGGGACCGTCTGAAACGACAGAGGATAGACCATCACGCTCCAAAACAGACTGGGATACAGTGACCACTGTGGGACTGTCTGAAACAACACAGCACCGATTGTCAGCCTCCAAACCGACAGGACATCGTCCGTCGGTCTCCAAAACGACAGAGCATCGCCCTTCGATTTCCTGAACGGCAGGGTACTGTTCACCAGCCTCCCAGAGACGCACCAGCGTCCATCAATGTAAACGTGAACGAATATACAATCTCCCAGCAGCCTTCCGAAACCCAGGTATCCCAGCATCACCATCATCGTTATCAATTTTCCCGTCCCATCATTACGCTGTTTCTCTCTCTCTCTCTCTCTCTCTCTCTCTCTCTCTCTCTCTCTCTCTCTCTCTCTCTCTCTCTCTCTCTCTCTCTCTCTCTCTCTCTCTCTCTCTCTCTCTCTCTCTCTCTCTCTCTCTCTCTCTTTCTTTCTTCCCTTTCAATTTATTTTTGGAACGGTAATAATGAATTTCCTGACCCAGTTGATGAGAAACACTACAGTTATCTCAGGATACTGACAACGTCCTTTTCCATGTACATTATTTTGAGAGTTACTTTTCAAACAAATGCATTCATTCATGATTTATCAATAACCGTGTTTACCTACCGATTACATGAATATTGAGCAAAGCAACCTGTACAATGGGGTACTAATCCCTAATATACGCTGCAGTTGCGTGTCGTTAGGCATATGTCATTATGCGACACCAACGTTATTAGAAGACCAACAACTCAGGCGGCACTTTCGCCACATTTCGACACCGAGGCTTATCGCACGAATGACAATGAACCGCCTGAACAAATGCAATTAATGAGTCATGGGCCTACCTCGCCGTGTAGCCTGTGCGAATGTACATATATATGATAACGACGAAATCGGAGCAGGATATGCATTATGCATATTGCATAGGTCATGTCACATTGTGGTTCGCTCATCGCTGCCGATAATATTGCAATGTAAGGTGTGACAAACTAAGCATAAAGTAGCATAAACTCTGCAGAATCGAACTTTAAATCATATTCAAGGACCCTATATGACATATTAGAATGTCATTATCTTCACAAAGAGCTGTAAATGTGATCCACAATGGACTGACACATAAAAAACGCCAGCGGCGGCAGACACAGCGGGTCCACTAATACGGCTATTTCGGGGCACATCTTAGCATTCATAGTCTCGGAATTGCGCCCATCAGCGGCGGCGGCCGGCGGGCGCAGCTGTCGCGCGTCCGTGCCCCGGGGGCGCCGCCCGCCGTGCACCGCAGGGAGAACTGTGAATCGCCGCACAGCCAAATCCCGTGAATCAATCATCCGCGCCATCTTTTATTCATGAGGATAACTGGCATTAACGTGGGGGGTGAGTGAGGTGACAAGGCAGCTCGGTCGACGGGTCGGCCGCCTCTCTGGGACGCTCACCGCCGCCGCCGACACTTAGCAGCGCAAAGATGATGGATGAAAGGGGTTTGCAGCGGACCGCCCCCGGCATCACGGCTGGGAGAGGCTCGTCAGTAGGTCTGGAGGTCAAATGCTAGAGTGCTGTGGTTATTGTGAATAGTTGACATTCAAAAGTTTGGTTCTAGTCTGAGTTCGCCCAAGCATCTTATCAATGATCAAACACAGATTTGAGCTAGTGGGCATGTTTAATCATCGAAGCAGTAGTGAAACGAGATATATCAGAAATGGAGAGGTAAATCATTAAATTGTGCAAAGCGATTTTCAACGACTCCATGTAAAATGTATGCGGGAGCGTAGAGCGTTGACGGAATAGATGCGTCGATTTGATTTTAGAGCGCCCTTTCGGGTGCCAGTCAAAAACTCGACAGATTCCCGGTATATACCCACGTGAAAGCCTTTTCCGATGCGCTGTCGTGCTCGCTCTTCAGGTCTTAGCATCAGCACATATTTACCAGCTAAATCGAACCTGTCTCTGTGACAATTGTGAAGTAAATGCACGCCGTCTACACAGGTAGTGGCGAACAGCACCCAAAGACCCTGACTGGCTGGTGTACTACGCCGGAACAGCCTTCACCGGGCTGGATGACAATGTTTACATAGAGCACACACGTGCACACCTGCTCATTGATGCTGAACGAACGAATGGATACACTGCCCTGAAGCGTTTCAAGCCTTCATCAAGGTATATTTGTGTCCGTGAGACTTAAGCGATTTCTTATTGGTGGAATGAATAGCACATCGATTTAAAGATTATCTGTTTGACGTCAGTTTGAAAAAAAATCACCGGTGCACCCGACCTTGAAGGCAAACATTCACCTAAGCAAAGACACAAACACATATATGTTACAGGGAGTATGCGATTTCAGTTAGTTTGCAACGACCCTAGGGTGGTTGTAACCTCCCTGAACGATCAGTTTGTTTGCAACGACCCTAGGGACGTTACAAAATAACTGCTCGTTCCGGGACGTTGTAACGAAACTAGGGTCGTTGCAACCTCCCTAGTTAGTATGCAACGAACCTAGGGTTGTTACAAAATAACTAGGGAGTTTAAGAATTCATCGGAGTCTCGTTTCACAGGAGGGCCGTCAACAATCTTGCCCTATGAAAATGCTGTGCAATCTAGCTCATTTAAAAGAAAAGGGGAGCAAAACTTAAACATTCAGCTCAGGAGTATTTCACGACGGCCATCTAGTACACATTCTGTGCAGATTAGGTGCACATTTGATGCAGATTTGTTCAAATTAGATAGGCATTCGCCAGGAAGCCCTTCGTAAAAACGGCTATTATCCGCTCGTTTCCAGTCTTTTTGTGATCGTAAACGTTCAAACATGTGAAATGATGGTGTTCCCATGCATTATGGTGGGTGTCAAGGTCACGTGAAGGTCAGGTCAAGGTAATTGACCTTTGATGACCTTAGTTCACTTCTTCTGGGCTCATATATTTTTAAGCTACTTTTTGGAGCTGATTTCGAATTTAGCACCCATTTGAACATTTACGAAGTAATTTTGGCGCCTTCGTCAGTGTAACAATGTCACGGACTCACGAAGCTGTCAGTAACCCGGTTTACATAGCATATTTGACGAGGCTCCAGCTCGTTAATTTGGCGAACTTCGCTGCAGTGGTCTTCAAATATTTAGAGGGGATCATTTTGTAAATTGTTAAGCAACATTGGCATCTTTTGCAACATCACGGACGGAGATATAAGCTTGCAACAAACCTTATGTAAACCGGGTTAGTGTTGGTTGACACCTATTATGGACAGCTAGCAAGACGCCTACTGGTTGACCTGACCTGACCTGACCCGACCTGGCCTAAAAGCATCAAGACATCATCGGTGATCAAAGCTAACATGAAATTCGTGATCAGCGCCCCGAAAACATCGTAACAACTTAACTCTCCAAAGTTTTATCAGGTCATAGGTCCCGATTTTCCCGACTTTTGAGTCACTGGCCTGACCTGGAAGGTCAACCAATAACCTAGCCCCGCCCTGTGCGTTTGCAGCTAGCAAAACACCAATAAGGGCGAGAGTTAACCCACAGGACCTGTTGGTTTTCTACATACGCGCCGGCCGGGAGGAGGGTTGGTACGACCCCCTCGTCGTTTTTCACCCCTGTTGGAGTTGGAGCGTCGCAGAAAAACGAGCGTGTGTGCCGTTAGGAGACACAGCAGCTAGTACCCGATTTTAAGGTCTCAGGTCAACCGGTGACCTCTGAGGTCAGGTCCTGTGACCCAAGACACGGGTTCGGTTTTTTGATTAATAACTTTAAAAAAACGTTGCAGAGCGCGATTTTAGCATAAACGTGCTCGCCTTGCTCAGGCGCGTCGAATGGTATACTTTTGTTCGGATGAGGTCAACTTGAGGTGCTGACCTCGGGTCAAGGTCATGTCTGAGACCCCTAGGTCGTGAAATTGGTCAAAGGAGGTCATGTTGCATATTATTCGATTCGGCAGGTCTTCCTCAGTTCATTGGTGGCTTGGCCGACTCGCAAGCTCAGTTTGATCGGGAGTTATTGACGAGAAGCTCGTATGACCCTAGTGACGTCATAATCACGCAACGTCAACAATGCAAAATTGAAGCATCTAACCTTGCAAGGAGTGCATGAAATCACGATCCGTGTGCTTGAGATATTTTGAGATCGCTCCCGGCGCCAGAATAGCAGTTTTCATTTTTCTCAATTGACTTATAGTGGTGAGGTCACGTGACCGACCTGACCTCATGTGATCTTTAGGAAAAATCCTTGAGGTACAAGTTGTGAGACTACTAGAAGATGCACGTTCTGTAAGTTCCATCCCCCTCTAAAAGCTCCTCTGGGACCGAGGGCGTTGCGAAGTTGCGGCATCTGAGGACCGTCCACTTATGACGTCATAGGTCAGTAACCTGACCTGACCTGAAAATCTGGTTGGTGTCACAAGATCTGGCTTGAATCAAAGGTCAGGTATGCCTAGTTTCAGCCATCTGTTGCTGGCGTGTTCGGAGCTATCGCGAAAAAAAAAACTAGGGGGCGAGGATTAAGCTAGGCTGGGTTGGTAGGTTTGGGTCAAGTAGTAGGCGTCCCACCCGCACCACCTGTTTATAGCACCCGTACCTAAACCACCAGCGAGAGTTTCGTAGCAAGTTGCATTGGCACCACAACTATACGTAACTACTTCTCAAATGTCTCAACGAATGCTGGATTCGCAATAAGCTATAAAAAAATCCTTAAAATCGTGAAAATTTGAAACAGTCACCCGAAGTCACCAAACGTCAATGACCTTGACCTGGCCGACTACTGACAAGTCAACTTGAAACCCATCATGATGCATGGGACAACCATCAGTTCACGTTGAGGATTATCAATTGACAGATGTGACATATTATAGTGCATGTATGGCCTAAACTTTTGAATTCATTTTAAAAGGGGGAAAAACGCAAGAAATTACCCTAATTTAGAGGGTAATTTCTTGCGTTTTTCCCCTTTTAAAATGAATTCAAAAGTTTAGGCCATACATGCACTATAATATGTCACATCAGTTCACGTGTTGGAACGTTTATATGTAATCACCATAGAAGTCTGGAAACGCAAT